CCAGTGTTAGTGGTGCTGATAAGAGCAGACACCACTAGCACCTGGGGAGAGGCTCCATCTATTGGTGGGGAGTATCACCTGCTGGAAAATGAGGCTGTGTTAGGATGGTTGGAGCATCTTCCAATTCAGGCGCCACTTTAGGCCCCGCCCGCCGCCTTAGGACGGTTGAAACCAGTGCCACCTTTAGGCCTGGTCAGTGTAATTTTTGCCATAGTTTAAACCACCAGTACATGGGCCCAGCCTTGCAGTCCGTACATTGTATTCAGGGGAAGAAGGTAGGGACACACCCCTTGGACCTGGACGGTAGAGTAGAATGTGGGTCCAGGATTGGGAGTGTCGCAGGGTTTTTACCCTGTAAGCTAAGCTGGATGATGCTTCCAGCACCAGGTTCCAATCCTATGAGGTTTCCTGGCCTCGATTACTATCATTTAATGAAAGCACGTTAAACCACCACTACCTGCAGGCCTCCGAATTTCAAGTAGTAGCCTACTACCTGAAGTGTCAGGAGGCTGCGCCTGCCGTCAATAAAATCCATCAGCAGCATTGGTGAGTTACAGGCCTCCAGACTTCGTGGAGCCTTTTCGGTGCCAGTCGTGCTGCAGGTAGTGCTGGTTTGAAAAAAAAAATCTACAACACCCTGTCACTGATAAAGTGGTGGTTTAAAAGAACAGGAATTGCCTGAGCAGGGCCAGCACACCTTTCCGGAAAGGGATATAAGAAGAATCAGGGTGCAGCGGCCCTTCCTGGAGAGGCTATGGCCCATATAGATTTGCACTACCAGGATCGGTTTTACTCCGAGTAGTGAAATTTTCACTGGACTGTGAATTGAACGGCTTACATCTTCTCATCATGATGTTGGATCCTGGTGTCTAATCCACACCTGCTGATGATTGCTTGCCCTTGTCTGTGAGTAGGTATGCTGGGCCCATTTTCAGTCCTGAATGTCTGCCCTTCCTCCCTTGTCACATAAGCATTCCTAATAGGTGTCATGCATGCTCTGTTGCTCAGACTGATTTGCCCCCATATAACTGTGGCAAATCTGGCAATSGCGTGGAGCCTGACTGTGGTCATAAATAGCACAGTTTTGCAGTGGCATGGGCTTCAATTTTTCTGACAGCAACAGAAAAAAAAGAAGTTCCTACTCCTGAGTCTCTGACATCTTTCCTTGCTGAGGACGTGGAGTATGACAGCAATTGTGTGTGTGTGTGTGTGTGTGTGTGTGTGTGTGTGTGTGTGTGTGTGTGTGTGTGTGTGTGTGTGTGAGAGAGAGAGAGAGAGAGAGAGAGAGAGNGAGAGAGAGAGAGAGAGAGAGAGAGAGAGAGAGAGAGAGAGAGAGAGAGAGAGAGAGAGAGAGAGAGAGGGTGGTTGCTTCTCGGATTTCTTCCGATAAACTATTCTCTACCATTAGGAGCTGTCCCAGCTCTCACCGTTTGTTGTTTGTTATGCCTTTGTGGTAGAGCATTTGGAGTTTCCCCTGTTTGTGGTAAAGAACACGGTTTTCGAGCATGTCAGAGGTCTAGTGTCTCTGACAGTTTTTCTCAAGCAGCGCAGGCTGCGTAGTTGTGATGGCCCACAGCACAGTGGCACCGTCCCGATGATCAG